CACAAATCAGATGTCAAGAATTATAACATTCATAAACCAGTCGGAGAACACTTCAATCTCTCTGGTCACGCAATTACAGACATGAAAGTTGCTATATTACAACAAAAAAACTGCAAATCCAGACTCCAGCGAGAAACTGTTGAATTGGAATTCATTTGCAAATTTGATACAACTAATTTAGGCTTGAATAGAGACTGGGAGTGGCTAAGTCATTATGCAAGGTAGCCTATTTCCCCTTGTTTTTTCCTACCCCCCCCCCCCAGACGTTCTTGTTAAACCCTGGATTTGTGCTGGAAATGGCCCACCTTGAATGCCATACACATTGCAAGGAGAAAAGGAGTACTTGTGGCACCTTAGAGACTAACCAATTTATTTGAGCATAAGCTTTCGTGAGCTACAGCCCACTTCATCGAAAGCTTATGCTCAAATAAATTGGTTAGTCTCTAAGGTGCCACAAGTACTCCTTTTCTTTTTGCGAATACAGACTAACAGGGCTGTTACTCTGAAACCTGTCATTGTAAGGAGAGTGGTCACTTTAGATAAGCTATTACCAGCAGGAGAGTGGGTTTGTGTGTGTGTGTGTGTGGGGGGGGAGTGAGAAAACCTGGATTTGTGCTGGAAATGGCCCAACTTGATTATCATACACATTATAAGGAGAGTGATCACTTTAGATAAGCTATTACCAGCAGGAGAGTGGGGTGGGAGGAGGTATTTTTTCATGCTTTGTGTGTATATAGAAAGATCTTCTACACTTTCCACAGTATGCATCCGATGAAGTGAGCTGTAGCTCACGAAAGCTTATGCTCAAATAAATTGGTTAGTCTCTAAGGTGCCACAAGTACTCCTTTTCTTTTTGCCAATACAGACTAACACGGCTGCTACTCTGAAACCTATCACTTCACAGTATCAAACCTTAACACCTGTTAAAGTAGGAAAGGGGAAAGAAAGAAATGTTTTTACGGCTGATTGACAAAAGCAACTCTCTGAGACTGCTCAGAGTCTAGTAATGTTAGTAGCTGTCCCAAAGGAGGGGGCAGAGTGCAGGTGACACAGTAAAAAGTGACTGACAACTGCATCCATCACATGGCTCTGCAATTTATTTTTCACACATACAATGCCAATGATATCCAGGTGACAAATATGCATGATTTAAATATCTGATCAAAACAAACTGAATTTGAAAATGTTGATGAAATTTTGAATTCAAAATTTGGAGGAAAAAAAGGAAACATTTTGGAAAAAAAATAATGAATTGCTTTAGGATTTTTTTGACCAGCTCTAGTGATAGTTGGTAGACATTAGATCACATAGTATTTAGGCAGCAAATTTTGTATTAAGTAATTTGTATAACTAAGCATCCTTTGGTTTTTGGTCTTCCTTCATTATTTCTTCTTTCTTCATTTTTATTTTTTTGAAAAGTCAGCCTCCTTTTATACATAATAAAAAAGCTATTTTGGCAAAGCTCTTTAAAAAATCCTTTTTAGGTTAACTTTTAATGTCAAGGGATGCATGAATTAGGAAAGGTTTTTGTAGGATTTCTTTCTGTTTATGGGGACTACATTCATTAAGGGATTGTCCAATATCTATGGGAGAATCTTTGCTGCATGTGTTTTCAGTGGGACATTTGTATTTGGTGAAACAGTCACATAAACACAATTGCCAGAAAAATCAAGGTGTAGAGAATGAATTGTTCTAACCTGTGTTCATAAGATGACCACCAGCTAAGTGATTTACACAAGATGAAAGAGTGGTGTATGACTAAGAATGCCCCCTGTTAGAACTCTACCATCTACAATATTGTAAGCGTGTTTATCTGGAGAAGGCACATTTGGGAGCATGGAGAAATCCTGAAAGGCATCAGATACGTGTTTCATTCACAACAGACCAACATCACTTTTCAAAGCCAGAGAGAAACATATGCAGATCAGACACTAGAAGTTTGCCTGAAGTATTTAACTCTTACAATGCTGGCATTTTCCAGACTGCAGCTAATTTTAATGGGCTTTGGATCAGGCTCTTATACCCATCTAGAGACTTACCTGGAGTGTTTCCTGTCAGACCCCATGCAGCTCTATATATTTTAGTAAACTCCAAGAGATGTTTGGGGAGATGATTTGGGAGGCTTTTGTACAAAGCACAGCATAGGAGGTACGGCTCAGTCTATGTTCACTAGTTAAATATTACCTGGGCATTGTTTCATTTATGCAAGTACTTCAATTTTCTCTCCCACAAAGTGGAAATTTCCAAAGGAATGTCGCTGTGTTTGGCTCTGTCCTGTTTTGGAAATTGCCTGGTGCAAGCCCATAGGGTTATGATAACAGAAGGAAACCCCCATCTGGTGAGCCACATCACTTGTTTTCCTTTTCTCTTAAAATCTTCACTCATGTCTGCTGTAAGTTAGAGATAAGAAAGATTAGCATGTAAAAGGACTTTTACACGGTGCCACCTATCCTGGGCCCCACTTCAGGAAAGCACTTAAGCACATGTGTAACTTTAAGCACTTGAATGATCCCATTGACTTCCAAGGGGCTATTCATATGCTTAAAGTCAGGCACATGCTTAAGTGATTTGCTGTACTGGGTCGTTGACCAAGAATCTGCACTTGAAATCCCTCTGACTTTCACACTTGTCTGATCTCTTATGTGTAGACTCACCTGTTTTGCTAGTGAAAAGGGACCCATACAGAAGGAACAACAGATAAAGTAAACATTTATATACGACAGCCCAAACGGTGAACATTATTCCTCCTAATAACAAGCGTAGTTGGCACAAAAACACGGTTGGCAATTTTAAAAGGTTTCTCCCTTCAATAAAAATGAGAAACTGAGCACTGGCATTGGGAATGCCTCTACTCCCCCTCCCCCTGCCAAACTCCATTCCATGTGGCCTGCATACGGAAGGATTTTTGTGAAGATTGGGTATAGTGTAGTGTATTTGAGAGGTTGGGGGCTTTAAAGGACGTTAGATTGAGATTTTAGTGAATCGGAAAAATAAGGGGCATTCCCCAGCTGTCATTTACACTCTGAGTTTCCTTCACAGAGGGTAGTGGAGAACTTTTCAGCAAGGATTTGAACAACAAACCACACATTGAAAAATGAGTCATATGTTTTAAACAACATGCTATATTTATTAGCCTCTGCAAACTGGTAGGAAACCACAGCACAATTATTTTCTTGCAAGTACTTTTGTGCAATATACGAAATGGAAAAATCCAGTTCACTTAGCATCAGCTTGAACACTTGAAAATAATCTCTAATTGAGGCTCTCTCAGGGCAAAGGCAGTGGCTTTTTCTTACTGTGTCCCACTTGTGCACGAGCATTGTCCTGTTTCATAACTTCTGCGTGATGCTGCCCTGAGCAACAATCACTTCTGGCAAGTGGATTGTATTTACTGCTGCTACAGTTTTTGCTTTTACCAAAATCCCATCAGTTGTTCTAGCAATAGATGCTGCTTTTAATGGTGCCTGGTCACTCGCAAACTCTCCCTGGATTCTTATTTTGTCTAAACGCTGAGAAAGAGAACGGTTTGCTGAGAGCGAAGAGCCCCAGAACCTCACTGTAACTGTGAGCCTGAGTGTGACCTGTGACACTGAGAGTAACACGACAGTCTCCTGGGTCCAGCAGGTTTACACAAATCCAATAATGTTTTGAGCAACTGTGCTAACAAAACTTTGTCTCTTGTTCAGAGTGTTTGTTCACAGGCTAGCTAGGCTTTGGGGGCGGAACCTCACTAAACCACAGACCCTATAACTCATACAAAGAGGTGGTTTCGGCAGCAAAGATTAAATAGTCTAGGTGATTCAGGAGCTTAAATCCATTGATGTTCACTGAGATGTAGACTCCTATGTGCCTAAGTCACTTCTAAAAATGGGACTTCAGCTCCTAAGTCAGGTAGTAGTTTTTGAAAATTCTGCAGGCACTAGGTTATGAAGTAGGATAATTAAAACCAAATAATTGATGTCAAAATACAAGCAAGTACATTTTGCTAGAAATGTTTGTACTTTTCTCACTGTGTTTGCTCACTTGCTCCAAAAGACCGCAACTGAGCAAAACACTTGAGTTTAATGTTAGATATGCAACATCTCCTACTTACTCAGCAAAGCACTTAAGCATCAGCTGAAGTCCCGTTGAAGTCAATGGGGCTATTGACGAGTGAAACATGAGCTTTAGTGCTTGATTGGATCAGGGCCTAATTCACAAAATTAATTAATTTACAATTGGTCACCAGTCATTACTGCAAATTAGCAAGGTTTTACTGTATTCTTACAGTAAACTGGCATGTTTGGCCCATGGTCTCTTTTGAAGTTCTGTGCTTTGGATCTTGGCTAACCCCTTAGCACCAGAAGAGTTGGATTTTCCTGGTGAAAAGCCTGTTGCACTCAGCGTGAAAAGAATAATATTTCTCATACTGCAGATGAGATCTGTCAGCACAGTACATAGAGCTTGATTTTCAGAGGTGCTGATTAGTTCCCATCGGCTTCAACAAGAGGTGCGGGGCGGAGTGGGGGTGGGTGGGTCAGCACTTCTGACAAGTGGGCCCCTTCTTGTTAGCACTGAACAGAGTAGCATATTTCTAGACTTCAACCATGCGGAATCAGCTCCCAAGAGGAAGGAATTGATTGATTCATAAAATTCTCATTAGCCTTAGAGCAAACAGATTTAATAAAGTCATAAGGGATTATTTAGCAGCAGATCTGGCTGTTACTGACCATCTCTACCCACATGATAGGTCTCAGTGCATTCAGTGGGATTTACTATCATTGTTTAACAGGGCACAAGAGAGGAACAATATAAAAAGAACACACAAAGTTCATGTATTGTGAAGTCAGTTCCCCATCTTCTGTATATGAATAATACACTGTGAACAAGAGTACACCATAGGTTTTCAGTTTCCAGGCTTCAATGGTTGCTTGTAGTCTCTTATTACTGCAAGATTTTCTACCTCTGGAAGGACCACTTAACACAGCTGAATGTTTACAAACTGATTCCATACCCAGCTATTCAATTCAATATACTGCAAGGAATGAACAGTTTATTCAATCATATCAACAGGTAATTACAGAAGAATCTACTGAACTCAGTGCTGACATTTGTTGCTAACATACATATATATGCTTCACCCTGCACATGGGTTCAGAAGCCGTAGCAGAAAGAACATCTAAAATGACTGCATATCAGCATCTGGGGGCTGTTTCACCGCACATAACTGTAGATTTCAAAACTGAGCACAGTGATTTTTGTTGTTACAGTTGTTATGACCATATAAGGCAACAACATATATTCTATTGCCACTATGGTCCTGCTGAGGGAAGGCAGCTTCTATGAGCTTGTAATAACCACGACCAGGTTAGTTTCACAGAACAGTCTGGGACAATTGCCTCACACACATTCATCTTATGCCACCACAGATTGCCTAACATTTCAACCTTAAGCATCATCTTCTGTTTCATTATCATCATCCACAAATTCATTGGTGTACCAGCTGTTTTACAATCCTGGAGTTCTGAAGACAAGTCCACAAAAACCTGCAAATTGGATTCCGCTACAGTTTGCCTTTAAATACCAGAAAGTAACAAAGGAACTTAAACGGAAATGACCGTGTGCGTAACCATATAAAGGAACAGCAAGAAGAGAATTATGGGGTTATCCAGTCTGACCTCCTGCATCATACAGGACTTCTCTATCATCTCGCATAGTGCCTTATTTAAATTCTTAATGGATCATACAAGTCAGAGATGAAAAAGACATATTAGGTCATCTATCTCCCTGCCAGGAAAGGACTGCTCTTTACGCTATATTATCAAGTGCTTTTTCTATTTTTAAGTGTCTCTGGGGATTGGGCTTATATCTTTTCCTTTGAGAGACTATTTCACAATCTCACTGTTAAGACGTTTTTCCTGATTCCACTTGTCTCTCTTGGCAATTTCTGCTCCCAATGCCTATAGAGTTTTCATTCTTAGCTTTGAGTCATTTTCACAAATGATAGATTTTTTTTTTGCACTGTTTGCAATCTAGATTGAAGTGAAATAAAAGGGCGAAGGAGTGCGCATGATGATGATGAAGTGTATTTATTAGTAATGTATTAGAGTAAGGACCAGATCCTCAGCTGGTACAAACTGATGGAGCTATGCATATTTACACCAGCTGAGGATTTGGCCCTATATGTTTTAAAATGGTTCATGAAATTTCATATGCACATCCAGTTGCGACAGAAATGTTGGCCATTTTCTTATTGTGAATTCATTCAACTTGAGCATTTGGGTCAAAAGTTTTAATCTTGCATCCCTCTAGACTTAGGGACTTAAATCGATATTTAGGCACATGACAAAAGTGGCTTGATTTTTTAAAGACGCTGAACACATGCAGTTCCCATTGACTGCAGTGGGTGTGCAGTACCTCTGAGAACCACGCCACTTATGTAAGTGGATGAATATAGATTTAGGTATTTAACTTGAGACATTCCACTTTGACACTTCTGACCTTGGGCCTGTCCTTTTCCTGCTCTCATTTTGAACTTCTAGCTCTTCTAGCACTTACCAGCCATGTGTCCAGAGAGAGGTCTTGGTGGTTCTCATACCAATTTGTGGACAGTACTATCAGCTGATAAATATTTCATACTCTGCAAAGTCCTGCTCTATATTTGATAGAATCCCTGAAATGCCTTGTAGAGCACTGCTGGAACAGCATGGGGATCCAAAATTATTGTGTGGATGGAGCTATACTTTAGACCAGTCAGTAGGACTTTATCCTTCTGTAAGATGTCTCAGTAGAAAACAAGCCATAATCTATAACGCACAAAAAAATTAGGGTCAGAATCTGAAAGAGAATTACACATTCACCAAAGGGTAACTTTTTTTTCCTTGTCATTATTCACTGAATGAGTGTTTATAATCTGGTCAGAATGTCTTGTACCCAGTCTGTAATCATGGCCGCCATCTCTCTGCTGGCATCTAGGACAAAAGCATGGCGGATTCCCTTCTCACAGAGCCGAATGTCCCCATCTGGAAAATCCATCTTGATCTCTTCAAAATACTGTTGTGGGCACCAGTTGTCTGCAACTCCATAATAAAAAATCAGCTAGAAATCAAAGCATAGAGAAAACATTCATTTGAAAAGGGAAGGGGGGAGCAATAGTCAAATAAAAGAGCAATACAGAATCCTAGAACTTAGGTGAAGTGGCATGATCCAGCAGTCCTGCTACTAATCATGATAAAATCACTTCACTTCGCTATGCCTGTTTCCCCATCTGCAAAACTAGGGATGATGATACTTTGTAAAGTGTTGTGAAATCAAGTGGACGAGTGCTCAGTAAGGGAGAGGATTTTCTTTATTATTTGAGATTGAAAACCCTGTTAAACCCGCTAGATCATCAAGTCCATGCCTCACCAGGGCAGACTGTAGGCTTCTTAACAGCATCTAGTTAGCGTTTTCTACGTTATTAAGGGAGAGTTTTCCAATGATTCTGTCTAGTAAGAAATGACCAGTTAGGTTGGGACTGGATACACATATTAAATATTCTTTAACACTACTGTATATAAAGAAAAATTAAATCTAAAGGCCAGATCCTCCGCTGGCACAGCTCCATTGAAATCAATTTACACCAGCTCAGGATCTGACTTGATACAATTTACATATAAACATACCACCTTCTTTCTCCCATACACCAAGAAAGATGTTGAACCACCAGAAATGTTGTTCCAGTCATCACATTGGTGATGAAAGCAAAATGACTGCTAATCAGACACTGTACAGGTTCTTCATTATTTAAAAGGAAGTGTAAGAAGGAAAAGGAATTAAAAAAGGCCTATTTTTTCATCCTACCATTTTATATTTAAATATACAGTGGGATCATCAAAGGACAATGTCCACAAGTCAACAACTATGACATGTTACCAGAGGTAGATGCTTATACATTTGGTAGAGAAAATGAGCTACACTCTGTTAGGAAAATAAAAATGGCAGCCCCCATTATTTTATCCTCCTGTCTTCTCTTTGTGCTCTTAACAAAGCTATGAAGAGAGGGAACTACGAGGATGGATTCTAAAAAAATACCGGAGCTGATCTAGAAAAGCTCGATTGCCGGGATTCTTTGCTAAAATGCTTCAGCAACTGTCAAGATGCCGTTATCCAACCTCTGCTGCAACTGTCAGGGCAACTGCATATGGAAAGAACTGACCAGAAAAGTTCCCCCAATTATGAGATCTCTAGCAGAAGAAAACAGTTGGTTAGACTTTTCTGGGTCCCATCACTCACTCATGCTGCAACAGCTACACACCAAAAACATCAACGTAATTTAAGTCCTGAATAGCAAACACCGAGGCCCGTGCAATTTCAGTTGCACGAGTTATCCCTTTACAGGATCGAGCCTTAGAAAGCATTACATTTTTAAAGTGTACAGTAAGACAACACTAAAATGGCAGGGTCTGTTCATCACTTACCTAGCCCAATATGGATGGGAAAAAAAATAGGTATATTGGATTCAATCTCACTTAATCTGCATGTTAAGCACACCAGACTGTTGTGTAGCAACCAGTTGTGTGTCTGGAGTTAATTCATTTCTAGCTTAGGAGTTTCTGCTTATAGAGGTCCAGAAATCAAATAATGTATCCTATTCTATTTAATTTAGGTATTTAGAGGGTACCAATCACTGTACTGCACAGGTACTGGCATATCTCTGTGTGGTACATATATACTGACTTGGCAGCTCATCCCAGCTGCCTTGCAGCCCAGGGTTTTGCCTAAAATGACAGGAGATTTTGCTTTTAGCTACTATGCGTTGCTGGTAAACACTACCTCATCATCATCATCCAGTTGGAACTAGACCTTGTAATTGGTGCAAAACATGCTACATGTTGTCTGTCTATTTTATCTACTTATCCCATACCTATTATCATAGTATCTGAGCACCTCAAAATCTTTAAGGTATTTATCTTCATAACACCCCTGTGAGGTATTATCCCCATTTACCGATGGGTAACCTAGGCTAAGAGATGGTAAATGAGTCGTCCAAGGTCACACAGGATGTCTCTGGCAGAGCAGGAATCTGAAGCCAGGGCTCCGAAGTCCAAAGTTAATGCCGTAACCAATGGACCATCTTCCGCTCTACCAGGAAAGTGAAAATGTCTCTTTCTTAGAAATCATTTCATAACTTTTCTGGTAATGTCTCAAATTTTCATAACCAGCTTTTTGAAGGGGTTATGGACGGCAAAGTCGTAAGATTTTGAAAATGTGCAAGAATGGGTCCAAAAATGATGCTTTGTGCTAAAATGCCTCAATGCAAGTACGAAAAATATGCTGATTTCTCAGTGGGTCACATGTACAGCTTGGTCCAATTACATTAATTACATTTGTTGCATATTTCATTTCTGAGCTTCAGCACATAACTGAGCAACACAAACAAATCAGGAGACAAACAAGATTGTTTTTAATCACAAAAAAGCTTCAATTGTTTTAATTTTAAACCATTCTGCAACAATTTGAAGTAGAAATAAATGCACCTCATTGTATACTGGAGTAGAGGTGGGCAAGGGGCCAAAATTTCATTATGGATGACATTTTACAAAATGTTACATGTTTGTGTCTCATTTGTTTTCCTGACATTGAAGCTCACCAACTCAATTTTTGGATACAGTGGAATACTGGCTGTATCAGAACGGTATTGACAGCAGGATTGTCTGGCTATGTAGACTCCCTCCTCAGGCCCTACGCTACCAGCACTCCCAGCTACCTTCGAGACACCACTGACTTCCTGAGGAAACTTCAATCCATCGGTGATCTTCCTGATAACACCATCCTGGCCACTATGGATGTAGAAGCCCTCTACACCAACATTCCACACAAAGATGGACTACAAGCCGTCAGGAACACTATCCCCGATAATGTCACGGCTAACCTGGTGGCTGAACTTTGTGACTTTGTCCTTACCCATAACTATTTCACATTTGGGGACAATGTATACCTTCAGATCAGCGGCACTGCTATGGGTACCCGCATGGCCCCACAGTATGCCAACATTTTTATGGCTGATTTAGAACAACGCTTCCTCAGCTCTCGTCCCCTAAAGCCCCTACTCTACTTGCGCTATATTGATGACATCTTCATCATCTGGACCCATGGAAAAGAAGCCCTTGAGGAATTCCACCATGATTTCAACAATTTCCATCCCACCACCAACCTCAGCCTGGTCCAGTCCACACAAGAGATCCACTTCCTGGACACTACAGTGCTAATAAACAATGGCCACATAAACACCACCCTATACCGGAAACCTACTGACCGCTATTCCTACCTGCATGCCTCCAGCTTTCACCCTGACCACACCACACGATCCATCGTCTACAGCCAAGCTCTGCGATACAACCGCATTTGCTCCAACCCCTCAGACAGAGACAAACACCTACAAGATCTCTGTCAAGCTTTCTTACAACTACAATACCCACCTGCAGAAGTAAAGAAACAGATTGATAGAGCCAGAAGAGTTCCCAGAAGTTACCTACTACAGGACAGGCCTAACAAAGAAAATAACAGAACGCCACTAGCCGTCACCTTCAGCCCCCAACTAAAACCCCTCCAACGCATTATTAAGGATCTACAACCTATCCTAAAGGATGACCCAACACTCTCACAAGTCTTGGGAGACAGGCCAGTCCTTGCCTACAGACAGCCCCGCAACCTGAAGCAAATACTCACCAACAACCACATACCACACAACAGAACCACTAACCCAGGAACTTATCCTTGCAACAAAGCCCGTTGCCAATTGTGCCCACATATCTATTCAGGGGACACCATCACAGGGCCTAATAACATCAGCCACACTATCAGAGGCTCGTTCACCTGCACATCCACCAATGTGATATATGCCATCATGTGCCAGCAATGCCCCTCTGCCATGTACATTGGTCAAACTGGACAGTCTCTACGTAAAAGAATAAATGGACACAAATCAGATGTCAAGAATTATAACATTCATAAACCAGTCGGAGAACACTTCAATCTCTCTGGTCACGCAATCACAGACATGAAGGTCGCTATCTTAAAACAAAAAAACTTCAAATCCAGACTCCAGCGAGAAACTGCTGAATTGGAATTCATTTGCAAATTGGATACTATTAATTTAGGCTTAAATAGAGACTGGGAGTGGCTAAGTCATTATGCAAGGTAGCCTATTTCCTCTTGTTTTTTCCTACCCCCCCCCCCCCCCCCGATGTTCTGGTTTAACTTGGATTTAAACTTGGAGAGTGGTCAGTTTGGATGAGCTATTACCAGCAGGAGAGTGAGTTTGTGTGTGTATGGGGGTGGGGGGGATGTGAGAAAACCTGGATTTGTGCTGGAAATGGCCCACCTTGATTATCATGCACATTGTAGGGAGAATGGTCACTTTGGATGAGCTATTACCAGCAGGATAGTGAGTTTGTGTGTGTGGTTTTTGGGAGGGGGTGAGGGGGGTGAGAGAACCTGGATTTGTGCAGGAAATGGCCCAACTTGATTATCATGCACATTGTGTAAAGAGTTGTCACTTTGGATGGGCTATCACCAGCAGGAGAGTGAATTTGTGTGGGGGGGTGGAGGGTGAGAAAACCTGGATTTGTGCTGGAAATGGCCCAACCTGATGATCACTTTAGATAAGCTGTTACCAGCAGGACAGTGGGGTGGGAGGAGGTATTGTTTCATATTCTCTGTGTATATATAAAGTCTGCTGCAGTTTCCACGGTATGCATCCGATGAAGTGAGCTGTAGCTCACGAAAGCTCATGCTCAAATAAATTGGTTAGTCTCTAAGGTGCCACAAGTACTCCTTTTCTTTTTGCGAATACAGACGAACACGGCTGTTACTCTGAAACATAACTAATACAAGTTATACATCTAGGCGCACACGCACATGTGTTTAACATAAACACAACTTAGCAACTGAACACAGAGTCTCGCAATGGGCAGTGTTATGTAATCTTAATAATAGGTGGGATTAGCAGCCATGCCACTTTAATATAAATAAAACTTATATTCACATATATTCTAATTAGAAATTCCTGAACTTTGTTAGAATCCAACTTTGTTTTCTGATAGTCAGTTCTGCTA